AGCACAGTTCTTTATTTTTATGATGTGGCAATTTTCATATTTCAACCAAATGTCTGGGAGTTCACAAAGCACTCTTTGCATTGTCTGAGTGAAACACCAACCTCTATCATTCTCCAAACCGACCTTTCTTTGCTGGGCCTCCCAGAGGTATGTTTATACTTGGGAATAGATTCTGAGGGCAATTTTATGCATTGTTTTTAGGCTTTTTCTTTGAGACCCTCCTTTCTGGAACTCAGCCCACCAAACCCCAGCTCTGAACTCCGATCTCTGTCTCTTCTACCCAGAGAGATGCCCTTTCTTATTGGGCACTGTTTCCTTGCACTTGGTTTGGAAAATGCCATCAAGGTGAAAGCTGAAGTGAATATGGAGTTCGACTAATGTGTTTCATTTCTTATTCTCAAGGTTCATCCTTACATTGGCTACCATCCTATATTTTATATTGCTTTTAGAATTAGTCAAGGGGGGAATATTAGTCCAGTACCAGTGACTATGTCACATACAAATACCATAAGACCCAGCAATTAGACTCCTAGGTATATACCCTGTTGTTGTTGTTATGTGCCATTGAGTCGGATCTGACTCATAGTGACCCCTCCTTGGGTTTCTGAGGTGGTATCACTACGGAAGTAGATTGCCCCATCTTCCTTCCGAGGAGTGGCTGGTGGGTTTGAACCGCCAGCCTTCTGGTTAGCAGTCAAGTGCCTTAGGCACTATGCTACCAGAGTTCCTGGTATATTCCCTAGAGACAATTTTTTTTAAACATACCTTTTATGCTAGGGTTTTTATACATCTATCTGTGTGTATGTGTATGTGTATATGTATTTAACATTATATATAAACGCAATGCAACACACTGCCGTCGAGTCGGATCTGACTCATAGTGACCCCTCCTTGGGTTTCTGAGGTGGTATCACTACGGAAGTAGATTGCCCAACCTTCTTTCTGAGGAGTGGCTGGTGGGTTTGAACCATCAGACTTCTGGTTAGCAGTCAAGTGCCTTAGGCACTATGCCACCAAAGCTCCTCCCACATTCTATATAAGAAACATATATATTAATAATCCATATAGCTAACCCAAAAGATAGATATTATTATTTCCTATTTTTATTGATTAGGAAACTGAGGCATAGAAAGTTTAAGAGAAATGCCTAACATCAACAAAACCAGTCAACAATAGAATTGGACCTGTACCTGGGGTTCCTTTGGCTCCAGTTTCTACAATATGCTACTTACTTAGTTACTAAAAAACTCAGTGTATAAATTTCATACAAGAGTCACTAAAATTTTATCCCACATTTTGCAGCAATATTTTTGTGGATAAAAATATTTAGAGACGGAGAATATTGAAGTCATTAGTTAAAAATCATATCCGCAGTTTATGAGGGTTTTTCTCCCCTATTCACAGATAATTCCTAACTGATTCTATTTAAAAAAGTGAATTTCTGAAGTATTTTTCACAGATTTTTTTTTTGGTAGTTTCTTGGGATATTAAAATAATCCTGATCCATTTAGAGGAAAAGGATACTACTGAATCATTGAATATGGAACGCTTCCTGTTGATAGAGACTTTCTATGCTTTTGGAATGAAACATATACTAAGGAAGTTTAAATGTATTAAAATGTAGTCTGACCCTGCAAAACTAGGCCTTGTTCACAACTATCAATGCTAATTTCCTTCTGTAACTCCCTATCTTTCTCAGCAGAACAGGCTACATAAAAACCTAGAAACAGTTTTCTGAGTTTCTGCCAAAAGAATAAGTTTCCAAAACACAAAAGTTAAAAGTTCCAGAAATAATCAGAAAAGAGGAGTAAAATGTATAAATAGTCTTTGAAACCTATTTCTTATTGCCTTTTCTGTTTTGTCTATATTTTTCATATTACTTATGCTGTCTATTGACTATTCTTTATTGATGACATGTGCTCACAGAAGACCTGTCCTTTGATGTACTGTTTTATCCATTTTTTGAATAAGACCTCCTCGTTCCTCTTCTCGTCCCTTCCCCCCTCCACAAATTTCTCACTAGCCTTGTTTTCTTCTCTCCTATATGAGTTCAATTATATGAATCAAAATGCTATGTTATTCTAGATGCCATACATATAGTGTGTGTATTGAGTAGATTCAATTAGACTTAGGAGGGTAAGAAAAAGATTCAGAGAATGACAAAGGGAAAACATATGGGCCACTAGGCATTTGCAGCAGCACAAGTAATTCTAAGCAACAGTTCAGCAATTTGGTGAGGCATCAGTCACTTTTGAGGCTTGACTCTGAAGCCTTTATCTATGTACAATACACAACTGCAGTCTATTCTAAACAGGTTAGTCAAAATGTATGGTGACTCCAAGGTCTGAAACACAGGTCAAACTCCACTCCTCCCCAGATGAGTGGAAATATCTTCCAAATGGGCAACATCTAAGAAGGTGTTGCAGAGAGCCAACTTCTGCTTCCTGGAGAAATTCAACAGAACTTGCATGTGTCTTAACAGAAACTCTAGTGATGCATTGGCAAGAGCGGTGGAATTCTTTGTGGAGGGAAAGTTTCTTGATAGTACTGTGCCACTTACCACTAATGACCCAGAAGTGATAAATTGAGCAGTAAGTGAGACTCAGGAATCCACGTGAAAATTGCATACAGATGCCCTGCTTGTCACTTTCACCCTATCTTTTGAGTCAGAGATGAAGTATGGATTTTTTGAGGCTAAAGTGACAGACAAGCGTTTTGCAATAGGAAAGGCAAATCGTCTCTCTCCACATCTTGTCTCTGTTGAATTCTATGTCAGACATTCTACTATGATACCTGTACTTTTGACAGCTATTTCCCTATCTCTAATGCTACTTAGCTGTTTTATTAGAAGATGAGCATGGAGCACAGAATCAGAGAGCAAGAAGGGATTTGATGCTGTATCCGCTCCACAATGTGGAATGATAAAAACACAGAGTGCAAAACTGAGTTGAGGCCTTTTCTGCCAGCAGGACTGACACTTTACGTCTCTCACCATACTCTCATCGTGGTTTTCTCCTTTCCTGACTCAGTGGTGACTTAGATCTTTTGGATTCAATAGTCACTCTAGAGAAATGACCAGATGTAAATGCAGACATTCAAAAGGCAGTATGCCAAGTGTGAAGGAAGAACACATTGAAGCAACCAGTCATTTAAAGCAGACACCTGAAATGACCATAAATATTGGTTTAATAGAGACACTTCTACCAGGACACACTGCCAGGTTCAGCTGAAGTGCGTTTTATTCCTGTTTCCTACATTTGGGAGACTTTCGACATTGTTAAAGGGGTTGGGAGTTTCCTGCTAAGCTGAACAGTGATTCACCTCCCCCTTCCCCTGCCAGGTGTGTTGATGAGACATAGTCCATTCTTTTCTTGAATGTTATTTTCTTTCCAACCCCCTCTCTGTGATAAATTCTATCACCAGTGTTTTTTTTTTTTTTTTTTTTTTTTTTTTTTCAGATTTCCAGTGCATTTGGATTCCAGTGGTGGTATTACCATGCCTTTGTTTAAACAATGTACCCATTGAACATACTCAGAGCAGATAATCCTATATATCGCACTGAAATGGGAAAATTTTAAAGTGCACATATTTTTTTTTCACTGTATGATCCCTATCCAGGCAATAAAGATAAAGGAAAATGTGAAAAATGTATCTCAATTATTAATTGAGCTTTGGATCAATAGGTACAGGAAATGCCTGAGATAGAGTTCCTTTGGTAGAAATATGGTCTTGTTCAGATCTAAGATTTCTGTGCCAAAGACATCGGGTTTTCCTTTGAGGACTGGAGGGCTCTGATCATACATAGCAGCACTGAAGGCGACATTGGGCCCCTGCTGTGTGGTTTACCTCATTTAACTCATACAACAATTCTGGGAGAAGGACGCGTGTAGCCCCATTACACAGAGGAGAATGTGTCTGGTAAACTGCTTAGGGTCTCTTTGCTAGTAAGTTTCAGAGGTCGATTGGAAATCAAGCCTGCCTTTGCTTCTTTCACGGTGCTACAATGCCCCGAATAGAGACGTTTTGAGTCGGTCTGATTTGTATGCTCTTGCCAGTTTCGAGTGAATTCTTTATGAATTGTCTCTTCTCTCATGTCCTCCAAGCCCATTATGATGACAGGAGGTGTAAATTCAGAATGCTGGAGTATGATTTTCCTATCCCGGGCCAGCGCGAGCTCAGGAGTCCTGCCGCTGTCCCAGGCTGGTGGTGCTGGACTCAGAGGCTCCTCGTAAGAGCGAGAAATTCCTTTTCAACTCCAGAGGGTGGATCTATCGCCAGTCTGCCTTGGGGAAAAACAAAACAAAAAACCCCCATCACCTCAAGTCAGATGGTGGGCTTCCGTTCCCTATCTGTGGACCAGTTAGAAGAAGGCAGGGGCATTAAGGGACCTTGGGAGCGCCCTCTGGCGAGAGCAGGGTGCACGCGTCCCCCGGCCTCGCTCCCTCCACCCCCTCGCCGCAGCCGCTGCGCCCCCGCCCGGCTCTCCGGGTTCACTCTCGGTCTAGCACTCCGTGAGACACAGACCACAGCTTTCTAAGCTATCGAGCGAACGAGCGAGCGGGGACAGGCTGAGGCGGCGCCAGCACAACTGCCGCCGCTCGCCCCGAGAAGACCACGGGAGAAAAGGATTCCTTTTTCCTCTTCCCGCACAAGTCCCCCGAGCCAACAGACCACCCCGCGCCCCTCCGCAGCCACTTAGCGGGGCGTGCCAGGACTTGGGGACGCCGCTCAGGAAGAGCCAGGGCGGGAGGCGGCGGCGGCGACGGCACCAGCGCGAGGGTGCGCGCACTAGGGTTGGAGAGGAGTGAGTGGTGGGCTGGGCGGCGGCGGCAGCAGTGTCGGCGAGTGCCTCCCCGCCTCGTCGCTTCGTAGGCAGCACCGCCTCCCCGGGCCGGGCCGCAGTCGCCCGGCCGGGTCCTCTGCGCGTTTCCGGGCCGGGAGCCGGCGCGCGATGCGCCCGCCTGCGTTCTGATCGCCGCCGCGCTGCCGCCTTTGCCGCGATGATCCCCCCCGAGCCGCCGCAGCAGCCGCTGCAGTCGCCGCCGCCAGCCCCGCCGAACCATGTGGTGACCACCATCGAGAACCTGCCGGTCGAGGGCAGCGGCGGCGGGAGCCTTTCCGCCTCCTCCCGGGCCAGCGTGCGTCAGAGGATCCGCAAAGTGCTGAACAGGTGAGCAGCAGCGGCGCGGATCGCGGGCGCAGGGGACAGAGTCTGCGGGCGCCCAGCCGGGGTCCCCTCTGGCCCCGGGGCGGTCACAGAGGCCTTTTGGGACGGGGTCGGGACCGATGGAGACCCGGTGTCGACAGGACCTGCGCTCTCGGAGAGGGCGGGGATCGACACTGACTGCGGTAGCTTTGTCCCGGAGCTCAGAGACACGGACAAGCGCCGGAGCTGCAGCTGGTCCGAGGCGCGAGTTGGGAGAGAGGCGGGATTTTCAGTACCCAGCTGCCCTGTGTGTGTCCACACTCACGCCCTCGCACTTGCAGGCTGCCTCACTTCCCTTTCCCACTTATATCCTAGCTTTCTGCTCAGGAGCGGGAGCGGAGCCCTGAGATGGGCAAGGCAAAGGCGGGAAGGCGCCGGGCTTCGGAGATGGCGTGAAGTCCCCGGCCTCGCGCCACCCCCCGCTCCACCCCGGCAGCTTCGACCCCTTTGCGCAGGGATGGGGTGGCGGCGAACACCTGACCAGAGAGAAGGGGCCCACTACTCCTGCGGTCGCTCCAGTCGGCCGCTCCGACTCATCTTGCCTAGAGGCTGGGAAGGGGAGGCTAGAGGCCTGGGCCAGACCCACGCAAAGTGCAAAAATGTTCCGGGAAGGGTGTGAGAGGGAGGCGCCAGTTATTCCAGAGCAGGCTAAAGCCAGAGGAGGCGAACATCGACCGCCAGCGCCTCCAGTGCTGGAATCTGCGCAGTGGATCGATCAGGGATCCAGGCAATTTAGGATGAGACCTGGGTTAACATGAAGATGGGGGCTCCCCTGGAGCCCCTGACTCGACTGTGATGTGGAAGGGACTTCTACTTAAGTAACTGGAAATGGTGGAAGAACCACCGTATAAAAAACCACATAGGGAAGTGATTTTGTGTGTTTTTATTTGCGTGCGTGTGTGCTTTTCCGTGCGTCTGTAGAGGTAACTCTTCAGTTGTTTTGTTCATACAGGTTTCTGTACGGTACTGTTTGGGTAGCCAAGATTCCCCAGGGAATTCACATCGACCTGCCTGAGGCTTAAAGCTCTAACTGGAAAACAAATTACGTACAGAAGTAGGAGCTTGAAAAATATCTTTATTTTGGGAATATGGTTAAGTTTATTTATATATCAAAACCCAAGCCATTCAAGAGCTCTCTGTAAAAACTTAGCACGTATACTAGTTTACTTGTGGGTACGTCTGTGTGTTTCCACTTACTACCAAACATGGGGAAATTCACTTTGAAGTTAATTGGTAATAGAAAGTCAAATCTTTACTTTACCTTTCTTTGATTTGTGGCTGGGAACAACACCTTCCAATATACTGCATTTAAAAGATTGAGCAGCGTAAGACAAGAGGATACTGGTACATATCGTGTGTATGTATTCTTTATGTATATCTTTATAATATTCTTTATGAAACCTGCAGATTGTTTATTTTTTTATTTCTAAATGCCTTGGTATTGGCTGTTGAAATATTTAAGCAGAATATATTATTAATTTCCTCATCAGATTAGGAAAAAACTGATGTAATAATTCATTTATTTTTTGCTTAACTGAAGTTATTATTGATTCCATGCACGTGTTTTCTTCACATGTAACGAATCTTGGAGTCCAGAATAACAAGATCACTGGACTAGGAGTGAGGAGACTTCTGCCACTAACTAGCACGTGACTTAGGGCTGCGCCCACAATCTCCTTGGGTCCTAGTTTCTTCATTTTGTAAAATGTGTTTCATAATACTTACCTCTTTTATCATGGTTTTCAGAATTAGATAATACTGAAAATATATTTGAAAATGTATAACACTCCCCACAAATCATTTATTCAATGTTTTTGTTAGCCCCACTATATATGAGGTCTATGGGGCAGTACAGGGACATAAAGTGAAGTCATGGTACATTGTGAATACAGCTTTGTGCTTTACTAAGGCTTCTGTGATCTGTGACACGAATTACATCATTCTCCACTTATAGAGGAGAAAGTTGGGAGCTCTGGTAGCATAGTGCCTAAAACACTTGACTGCTAACCAGAAGGCTGGCGGTTCAAACCCACCAGCCACTCCTCGGAAGGAATATGGGGCAATCTACTTCCGTAGTGATACTGCCTCGGAAACCCAAGGAGGGGTCGCTATGAGTGGGGGCGACTCCATGGCACATAACAATAGCAACAACAACAGCAGAAGAGGAAGTTGGGTTGAAAGAGTACGTTAATGACATTGAATCGCAGGTACATTTATGAATGGAACCCTAGGGTTAAAGTCTTTGGACATAAACTAAAACACATTTGTTTGCCTTTCTAAGCTGTTCAGGATTTTCAATGTAATATTTTGTATTGAGTAAATGGCTTTTCCTTATCCTTAAGGGATAAGAGGAAAATATTTCCTTTGAGAAAGAGGATCCCTGGTAAGAAGATTGAAGAAAAAATCAGAATAAATTAGAACTCTGGATGGAACAGTTTCTTCGGTGTGCTGATTGCCTTGGCTTTTGTGCCATGATTATGTCAACAGGAGACAACATTAGTACTGGCTGCCAAGTGACTGGACTGTAGGTAAAAGCAAGAGCATGGGGAGAGTGGAATTTTACAGATGCTGAGCTATTGCTGGGTAGGTCTTCCTTGGGTGTTAACTCTCATGATGTTTTGGACTAGTCAGTAATGGGTATGGGGTAGGTCCTTTAGGGTCTACTCAGTCTAATCATAGGTACTTTTTGTTCATTGCCTAAAAAATTAAGATCTGCTCACTTTTTCCTACTTTTCTCCTCCTTTCCTTTTCCTTGTTTCCTTCACCTGTATTCTCCTATCCACTCATTGTATTCTAGGCTTCAGTTGTTTCCTGTCATCTACCCCTGACATATAGCAATTTAGCTGCTTGCAGAAACTGCTTGTCAATCTAGGGGTCAGTCTGGAAACTATCCCAACAACTTTTGACATGCAAATATGTTACTGTGAGCTGGTTGGGGGGTCGCTTTGGTGACCCAAATAAGGTGGCACCACTACTGACTCTTGGCGCTCTTTGGGCTAAAGGGGCAGTGCAAAGAGACTGCAGGTGGTGCAGTGAGTGTTGGAATGTGAGCATCATGAACCTGGTCATCTGCCTGCCATTGGTCACAGCAGATAACAACAGATGTAGAGCCCAGGTGATGGAATGGTTATGCACTCACTGCTATCCCAAAGGTTGAGGGTTAGAAGCCACCAGAGGCCCCACAGGAGAAAAGATACAGCAGTCTGCTCCTGTAAAGATTTGCAGCCTAAGAAACACTATGGGGTACTTCTACTCTGTTCTGTAGTGTTGCTCTGAGTCAGAATTGACTCACTAGCACATAACACTTGCCAAAACAGGTGAAAACTGGACAATGAATGCAGAAGATCAAAGAAGAGTTGATGCCTTCAAGTTGTGGTATTGGTTGGCGAAGAATACTGAAAGTACCATGGGCTGCCAAAAGAACTAACAAATCTGTCCTGGAAGAAGTGCAGCTGGAATGCTCCTTGGAAGCGAGAATGGCCAGACTTCGTCTGACTACTTTGGTCATGCTGTCAGAAAGGACCATTCCCTGAAGAAGGATATCATGCTTGGTAAAGTGGAGGGTCAATGAAAAAGAGGAAGACCCTCAATGAGATGGATTGACACAGTGGCTACAACAATGGGCTCAGGTATAGCAAGGATTGTGAGGCTGGCACGGGACCAGGCAGTGCTTTGTTCTGTTGTACGTGGGGTTGCTCTGAGTCGGAGCTGACTTGATGACACCTAACAATCACCACAGAACAGAGGAAGAAATACAAACACTTGTGCTGTCTATAGGTGTGTATAGTCCCTAGGTGGCCCAGGTGGTTAAGTGCTTGACTCCTAAGTGAAAAGTTGGCAGTTCATTCTACCTAGAGGAACCTCAGAAAAAAGTCTTGGCAGTCTGCTTCCAAAAGATCACAGCCATTGAAAACGCTAAGGAGCACTGTTCCACTCCAAGACATGAGTTTGCCATGAGTCAGAATTGACTTGATGGCAACTGCTTTTATGCTAACTATATACTGTCTACTGAGGAATAAAGAAAGGACACACACACAAAAAAAGAGCCAAACCTACTGCCATGGAGTTGATTCTGACTCATAGCTACCCCTACTGAGTTTCCAAGGTGGTAAATCTTTATGGAAGTAGATTGCCCCATCTTCTTTCTACAGAGCAGCTGGTGGGTTTGAACTGCCAACCTCCTGGTTAACAGTCAACTACCTCAGGCACTACACCAACAGAGCTCCTTAAAGAAAGGAGTACTGATTAATAATTTAAAGTACTTGCTTTCAAGGGTCTTAGAATCAAAATGCAGTGTTACCTTAAAGAAAACCTACTTTGTCCTCAGTATTGCATTTCCTTAGAATAGCCATGTCCTCTCTCATTACTTTAAAGGCTTATTATAGAGTTGGATTGCTGAATTTTGTACTTGGCATTTGGGGTATCTCACAGATTGACTATTCAATTGCTGTAGAGCAATTAGACAAGGATATAATAGTATTTAAGAATTTTGTGAAAAAAGAAGTGCCAGATAATTTTTTAAACCAATTAATGAGTTGTTTCATGTCTTCCTCCCTCCTCCCTGTACTATTTTAAATTGTTTTGGCAATGGGATGCAAAATACACATGGTGATTTCAGCACTGTGAGAATGATTACTTCTTTAATTTTCAAAGACCTGGAATAATATAGTGGTTCAAACAAGGGAAAATTATGGCAAACTCTTCTTCACTTGCTTCTTAGTATGAAATAGTATTTATTACCCTGCTATGGGCAAGCAAGATATGACAAAAAGAAAATACTTCAAGGGCAAACGGTTGATCCCTTCTCTTAGAAACTGCTGATACAGGTCAATTTCTTAGAAACATAAAGAGTAGATACTGAAGATTTTCTCCTCTAAGATGACTTGTTAATGAAGTGGTTTTTTAAAAGTGACTGAGAGCTTGTTTTGTGCTGAGCATGTGTATGCTTTTACTTAGTTTTTCCC